CCAAGTATCGGGAATGACAAAGAACTTCAGATTCAGGAGGCTCAAAGATCCCCAAACAGATTCAATCCAAAAAGGTCCTCTCCAAGGCACAATATAATTGAACTGGCAAAACTCAAAGACAAAGACAGAATCCTAAAAATAGCAAGAGAAAAGTGTCAAGTCACCTATAAGGAAGTCCCCATCAGACTAACAGCAGACTTCTCAACAGGAACCCTGTTGTCAGAAGAGAATGGGATGATATATTTAAAATACTAAAAGAAAAAAGCTGCAAGCAAAAAATGCTATACTCAGTAAAGCTATCCTTCAGAAATACAGGAGATATAGTATAGTTCTCAGACAAACACAGTAGCTTACCACCACATGACCAGCCTTACAAGAAATCCTCAAGGGAGTCCTGCATCTGGAATCCAAACAACGATAATCACTACAATGAAAACACAAGAAAGAACAAAACACACTGGTAGAACAAAAATGCAAACAAGAGAAAGAAACTGTATCTTACCACCTCCCAAAACCAACAAACACCAAAGACAAACAAAAAAACTTAAAGAAATAAACAAAAGATATTTAAAACTTCCAAATGAAAATCGATAAAATGCTAAGAGTAAGACAGTGCCTTTCAGTAACAACCCTAAATGTAAATGTAAAATGTAAAAAGAAATGGAAACCAGAAATGAGCAGGAGAAGCTATTTTTATATCAGACAAAACAGACTTTATACCAAAAACCATCAAAAGAGACAAAGAAGGCCACTATATAATGATAAAGGGATCTATACAGCAAGAAGACATAACAATCATAAATATATATGCACCCAACATTGGAGCACTCAGATATATAAAGCAAATAATATTAGACCTAAGGAAAGTGATAGATCCAAATACAAAAACAGTTGGGGACCTGAACACCCCTCTCTTAACACTGGATAGATCACCTAGACAGAGAACATAGGATTTAATCCAAACTTTGGACCAACTGGACTTCACAGATATGTACAGAACATTTCATCCAACAACCACAGAATATACATTCTTATCAGCACATGGTACATTCTCCAGGACAGATCACATGCTAGGTCAGAAATCAAGTCTCAAGAAATTTTTAAAATTTGAAATTTCAAGTATCTTTTCAGACCACAACAGATTAAAACTAGAAATCAATAACAAGTGAAATGCTGGAAACTATACAAACACAAACTATATAAACTATATGGGAATTAAACAACATGCTCCTGAATGACATATGGGTCCAAGAAGAAATTAAACAGGAAATCAAAAAATTTCTCAAAACTAAAGAAAAAAAAAACACTCATACCAAAAGCCTGTGGGATGTTGAAAAGCACTTCTAAGAGGGAAGTGCATTGCAATAAATGCTTACGTCAAAAGAATAGAAAGATTTTAAATAAGCAACCTAACACTACACCTTAAAGAACTAGAAAAACAAGAACAATCCATTCCCAAAGTTAGTAGATGGAAAGAAATAATTAAGATCAGAGTAGAACTAAATTGAACAGAGACCCAAAAAATAATACAAAACATCAATGAGGGCCGGCCCGGTGGCGCACTGGATAGTGTGCCGCTTGGAAGCGTGGCGGCGCTCCCGCCCGAGGGTTCGGATCCCACATACAGACCGGTTCCCGCTCACTGGCTGAGCGAGGCGCGGGAGCAACACTGAGGATTGCGATCCCGTTGC